TTCAACACAAAGTCGCACCGTTGTCTAAGACAACGCCTAAGCAGCTGCACTGAAAAAATATCTTCTAGGGGCTGAGCCACCCTTGTCTCTTAAACCTAGAGACGCCCCTGCTTTCTATGTAAATATATTGCCAAAAGCCAAAAAGGCTTAAAGCTACACTGAAGTATCTTATTTTCGGCTACTAAATTTGTCTTTGTTTATGGATGGAAGAAGAAGCAAAAAGCAGAGGAAAGCTGCAGCTTTAAATTTCTATTTCTGTCTATTTTGTAGTTAACAAAGTTTTTTATTTCTATGTGCTTTAACAGCATGAAAACAGAGATATGTTGTGAAATCTGAAATATAATATGGAAATTAGTGTGTTTTTGCAAGACTTAGCCTAAATTAACACCCCAGTCAAAATGTTCCATACTATCTGGCTTTATGAAAGAAGTTGTAAGCTGGTGTGCCCCAACAATCTTTTACAGGTACAGGTGAAATCATACTAGTACACTTAATGCATTTCGTTAATTTTAATTAATATGATTATATCTAGTTAATTTTAGTTTTATGGTTTTTGCCCATCGACTTTTTAAAAATGTTATTTCTTTTTCTCCTCTTCTCTATCCTGCTTTGATTTGATTTAAATGTACTGAAGCAGTTTGAGTACTATTACCTTAATTTAAATAGGTTCTGCTTGTGATGAGCTGTTTTTATGAATGTTTGGATGTTTTGAATCACTGTGAAAATTATCTATCTAGGTGTATTGATAAACTAACCTTGAATAGAAACATACCAGGAGAGCAGCTATTTCAGAAGTTCAGTCATTATAAAGACAAGTTTATGTGAGCAAAAGCAACTTAAAAAAAATGCAATGTTATATTCTATATACTGATACTGCCATGCCTTTAGATTTAATACTATTGGTTTTATTGTAGCCATATACAAGAAAAAAAAGTTTATATTTCTTGTTATTATACACTCAGCACCCTCTTCTGACTGATAAAACAAAACATCTTGAATATACTGAAAATTTATTCAAAACAAAAAATGTAATTCTTTACTCAAATACCTGAGTATTTAGACCCTTTGCTGTGACCCTTATATTTAATTATTCCCGCCCATTTATTCTGACCCTCTTTGGGATGGCTTTACTTTGCAGGGGCCCAGCTGTGTTTACCGGTAATTAAACTGATTGGACTTGATCAGGAAAGACACACACCTGTCTATAGACCTTACAGCTCCAGTGCATGTCAGAACAAATGAGAATCATGAGGTCAAAGGAACTGCCCAAGGAGCTCAGAGACAGAATTGTGGCAAGGTACTAATCTGGACATGGTTACAAAAGTATGGACCATTCCCTGTTTAAAAAAATGCATTTGTGTATCACGGCATGTCAGGGGAGTCTCAAAAATCCACACACAAATGCAATGAATTTTGAAGACTACTCTTATAATTATAATTGTTTATGGACCAGAAATACTTTTTGTGATCTCATTCTGTGCATGTGTGGATCTGGTGTGCTAGCGTGAATCGTTCTGTGCGTATGTGGATCTTGTCCTTTGTGTGTGTGGATATTTTGTGCTTGCATCGACAGGATGATTGATATGACCAAATCCTACCAATGGCTACACAGGTTGAGGGGTTAAAGGAGAGCATAGAGGTTCTGATCATGGCAGCACATGAGCAGACCTTGAGCGCCAGAGTAATAGAGGTCCACATCTACCATACCTGGCAAGATGCCAGGTGGAGGCAATGCAAAGAGGCCCCAGAAACAATCCAGCATCTCACAGCAGGGTGTAAGATACTGTCAGGAAAGGAATACTCGGAACCATAACCAAGTGGCTGGTATAGTGTACAGAAACATCTGTACAGTATAGAAACTGCAGACCCCGTGGTCAAAATGGGAACCACCTCCCAAGGTGGTGGAGAATGATGGAGCTAAGAGAAGTCCTGTCGGACTTCCAGATACAAACAAACATAATGGCTGTTGCCAACCAACCAGCCAAATCATTGATATATATATATATATATATAATATTCTATTATGATCTATATGCTATTTGTATTATACTTATATAATATTTGTATATTTATTTCTGCCATAATAAGTTGAAGATGCTCTCTTTGCTTGGCTTATCGGTTGTTCATTCGAATTTATCAATCCTTCTTGAGGTTTTCAATGTCTCATATATCCTCTTATAACCAAATTCTGACCTTTTTTTAAAATTCCATATTTTTTGCATCTAAATTAAAGTACCGTGACATACTGGGACTGTGGTTTCCCCCATCTTAGGAGGGAATGACTTGTACACTTTCCTGTATTTTTTAACGCATGTATCCCTTTCATCCTAATATGTTCACAGGTGGGTCTGCTGGGCGTCCCTCTTTACCTCTGCCAGGTGAAGCCCCTGGAGATTCATTGGTATGTCCATACTGTGTCTACTACAACCAACTCAGCGAACATCCAAATGAGCAGCTAGAGGACCAGCACCATGGAATCCCATGCAACAGCGACAGCCCGTGTCACAGCGACAGCGTCTGTCATGGTGATCCACAGCAATCTGAGCCAAAAAAAAGACTCTGGCACTGCTGTTGGCTCAGACTCAAAAACAAGCTGGAACTTATCGTCGGCAGCAGATACTTCAGCAGAGGAATCATGATTGCCATCCTCATTAACACTCTGTCGATGGGTATAGAGTACCACGAGCAGGTGAGCTGTTTAGATTGCTAGCATGTTTGTGTTGACAAGCACTGCTTGGTGCACATGTCCTTCAGACCGAATGTGACTCCGGTGTGATTGACGTGCTAATTGTCGTGTATGAGAGAATCAACAAACTCACCCTCCAATCAACACTTACAGCACCCAGCATATGGGATCACAACAGTAGTGTGCGGGCATGGCTGTTTGTGAGTGTGTGTTGGCACATATGAGAAAATGGGGATACTTATAAGACCTCAAGTGTTAATTAAAGCGTGACCCTGGGAAAGGAAAGAGACACTAAGCTGTGCGGTAATAGAGGCAAGTCGCTGGAGCGGGTGGGGGTGAAAGAAGTAATCAGGTGGAGGGGGGCAGACATGATTGGCTGAATGACAGCAGCAGGTTTTGGAAACGAGGAAAGATTTAATTTGACCTGCTTCATAAGTAAAATGACACACCTTGACGGCCATAACTTCCTGCATGACGAATATTTACGGATAAGAACTGGCTTGTTATATCTCATTCCTATGATTACAGGCTACTTAAAGTCCAGACCATCAAAGCTATGTGTGTACACAACTCAATGCACAGAATTACTAAAAAAAACTTTTAAATGATCATTTCAAAGCCTCCCATCTAAATTTTTATATGATCATGCAAGTGCCAGTGTATCGGATGTAACTGAGCATGCTCAGAAACCCAGCTGCATGTTAACACTGCATTGTTGGTTTGCATAAACTGTGAGAAATAATTCATAAAGGCTGTGTTCACTACACCCTTGCCTGTGATACATTCTATTCATGTATTTTTACTGTCAGAGCAGCAGCAGGTCCTGTTTATAAAATATCCAAAAACACAGATGCCTGTTCTGTGTGATTGGAAATGTTTTCTTCTTCTTTGTTTAGGGCCTCATAAACCAAGGGGATTATTTTATAAATGGACAAAAAGATCAACAAAAAAGTGTATGTTTTTATAAAGATTTTCCTCCCCTTGCATTAATTAGTTTGTCCTGATTTATCTTTCAGAACATTGATACAGGAAAATATTTACATAAAAAATGTTTTTATCTATATTAGAACTCCAGTCACATCAAATGTGTGCGAGTAACCACATTCACACTGGAGACAGTTGTTGCTATTATGACCTAGTAGTATTTCCACCTAAATGGTGCCACGTTTGTATGGACAAAGCTTTCTTAAGTTGAACAGCAGAAGTTTGTGGGTTGTAACCATCCAAAAACCTGCCAAATCCTTACTGAAAATGTTATCTTTTAACCCACGTTTAGTGTTATTTCTTGGATTCATTTTTTAGGGATTTTTTCATTTTGTTTTGTAAAATTAATGCCATAGATAAATGATGACCAATGGGTTACGAATAAAGCAAACTACAGTGAAGGTAAAAAAAAAAAAATAAATTGTGGTGCCAATAGATGTGACACACAATGTGTAATTTAAATTAAATTAAAAATGGATTACTAAAAGGTTATTTTAACAAGTTTGAAATTGTTTTACTTCAGTAAAAGCTATTTTTATTTTAATGCATGCTAAACAAGTAAGTTACAATCCATGGTAGAGTTGAGAGGGGTTGTTGATGATTAAATTGCAAGAGGGACTACTAAAGCATAATGATTTAATTGTTACCAGGGGAGTGGCGGTGGTTAGGGCATAGGGCTTTAAATTCTGAGGTTGTGAGTTCTATCCCCCACTCCCACAGACTGCCACTCTGGGTCCCTGAGCAAGACCCTTAACCCCACATTGCTCCCCGGGCGCTGCACAATGGCAGCCCACTGCGCCCCAAGGGGATGGGTTAAATGCAGAGAAGTAATTTCACTCTGTGATTATTAGAGTATATAAAATAAAAATAAAACAATAAGTATCCTTTAGTTTTCTTTTAACAAACCTTTGGGTGTAAAACTTGTTTGACATTTTTTGTCTGGTACTGAAAGTTAAAAGAGTAAAATTGCTCTCCAATCTTCTCTTGCATCATTTGCACTTCTAACGGATTGAATTTGCATAGGATGGAAGTCCTTTCCTTAGATTTTTCTAGCAGACATTGAGGTGTGCTCAACCTTTACTCTTGATACTCCTTTGGGTACCAGTTTATCAAACGGTTGGGTTTCTTGTATTTCTTAAACTGGTAACAACATTTTCTATTTACATGTTTTTTCTGGAATGAAATTCACTTTAGAGTCACAAATCTCATCCTAAAATGTATTTGTTGGATCTTTCAATTATATTGTGCTTTGCAAAATATGTTTTTTGCACCCTTTGGCTCTTTTTTTCGGGAATCATGGAATTTAATTTCACTGTTATGAATATGACTAACAGATATATTCCCCGTTTGCAAAAAGTAACACAATCCAGTAACTTCAGCATTGCTTCAATGACATTAAAGCATGGCTGTCACTTAACTTCCTTAGTCTATGCAAGAGCAACTCAAAAGTTCTGTTATTTGGACTGAATTGCTGTCCTTTGCCAAACATAGCTCTTAGTTAACTGTCAGTTTTTCTCAGGGACTGTGTCACAAATCTGGGGGTAAAATTTGAATCCAATCTTAAATTTAAGAAACAGTTCAGTCATGTTGTTCAGATTAGTTTTTATCAACTTTGGCAAATAGCCAAAGTAGAAAATAAGTAACCTTTTTAAAAAAAAATATTTTAGAAAGAATAAAATAAAAACATTTTTCATTCCCGTTCTTTGTGTGGTCTTAGCACATGGAATATATTTAAAATGAAGGGAAGGTTGTGGTTTATATATAACAAAGTTCAGGAGGAATCACTTATTTTAAAAAGCTATGTTGATTTGTTATGACACATTTACCTCTATTGACGAATAAATAAGAAAAAAAGCAATTCCTAATGGTTTCCTTCTATTTTATGTCACTTATTTTCCCAGAAAGCCTCACTGTTCAAGTCATACAATATGGTCTAAATGTACCATGCTAAGAACTTTGTGTGCAGTCAGAATAAACCTCACCAAACAAAATTATCTTCACTTGATAAAAGGATTAAACTTCACTTCCCTTGTTTGTTCTTTTTTGTACAGCACCCACTTCTGAAAAGTCTGTCTAATTTCTAAGTCAAAGTGATAGAAATGCATAAAATATCTGCACTTTTCTGAAAACATTTGTTAAATACTGGCACACACTGAGCCATACAAACTAACAATGGCAACCTTAAGAACACCTTTGCTGTGAAATAATGGCCTGTTTCTCTTCTTTTGTTATTTCTTTCTCTCTCTTTATTTCCCTCCCTTTAGCCCCAGGAGCTTACAGATGTTTTGGAGATAAGTAACATGGTGTTCACCAGCCTCTTCAGTTTAGAGATGCTGCTGAAGATGCTGGCTCTTGGGCTCTTTGGCTATATCAAGAACCCTTACAACGGCTTTGACAGCATCATTGTCATTATCAGGTGCGTATGTTTTCAGTTAAATAAAAATTCCTGTTATTTATTCCTCTCCTTTTTTACTGGGAAATCCCTTTGATCGTTACTGCACAGCTTCTCAGATGCTTTAACAGTGATGCTGACTTGGGTGCCTCAGCCAAATGGCTGCATATGATGTCCAGAGGGCCTGTGTTCACTCTGTTATGTAGCACTAGAAGCTGAATTATGAATATGTGTTTGAAGCCTTCCCATGTTTACTTTCACACTTCTCTCACTTCTTTTAGTAACTGGTGGACCATAAATTCAGTTTTTCAGTCACCATATGTGGCATAGAAAATAATTAACTTCTATCCTCCATATTAGGAGACGTTTTGAATGTGAATTTGCCACTGGTAGATATTAATCTCTGTGTAAATTATGTATTGCAGTGTGTGGGAGATTGTGGGTGAGGCTGAGGGAGGCCTGTCAGTGCTCCGTACGTTTCGCTTGCTGAGAGTTTTGAAGCTGGTGCGCTTCCTACCTGCTCTGAGAAGACAGCTAGTGGTGCTCATGAAGACCATGGACAATGTGGCCACATTCTGCATGCTGTTAATGCTCTTCATTTTCATATTCAGGTATTGAAAAGCTCACTTGGTTTTAACTATGCAAAATTTTACTCACAGTTACAATTCTGTTCAATTTATTTTAACATATGTGATGATAACATATGTGTATTAACCCTTATTTCAGTAGGTAAATAAGATGAGTTTCCCTATGGAATGATTATTATTACTCTTAAAATGAGATCATTAGATAATATGCACTTGAAATAAGCGATGCAGTTGTTTTTTCTCATTTCAAATGTAAATTATCTTGTTCCATTGGCAAAGTGTCCCCCCCATATTTTATTGTCATTATACTGTCACAAGTACAAGGCAATGAAATTAACTCTATGCATTTAACCTATCCCATTGGGGATCAGTGGGCTGCCATTATGCAGGGCCTGGTCAGGGACCCAGTCCGTGGAAGTGGGGCTCCAACTCAGAACTTCAGGATTCCAAGCTCTATGCGCTAACCACTAGGCGGCCACTCCCACCACCACTTACCTTCTCAATTCAAGAACAAATGCACTTATTTTAAGAAAAAAATACGATTTTTTCCAGTGAGATTCTTCTCTTTGTGGATCAAAGTATCTTTTTTCTCTGATGATTTTTCCTCCATGGTGATAGATGCTGTACAGCTTAAAGAATTGTTGCCAATGTTGTTTGATTTTTGGACATTTGCTACGATGCATAAACATTGCAACCATAGCAAGTTGTTTTTTACTCCAGGGAGCTAATCATTAAGATCTCTAAAGCCTAAAACACTTAAACTACTTCCTTAAATCCCAGCTTAGTTAAAAAGGAGGCACTGGAAAAGGAGAGCAGTACCAACGAGAAGAGAGAGGAGGAGCAAATTACAAGCCATCTGTTCCATCAATCATTATGGGCAATGTGAAATTTTAAGCAGCAAGTTAGAAGAACCCCAAGCCATATTAAGGGCCAAGCATACCAGGAATGCAATATTATGCATCATATCCCAGACTCCAAAGTCTCCCTGCTTGGCTTCCTGGTCATACAAGGAGACAGGGGTTTAAAAAAAGGCTGGAAAAACTCAAGGAAGGTGGGTTTGCACTGCTTGTGAACAACATAGGGTTGGATCCAGAACTTGCTACTGTGAAATTTCCTCCTTGCAGCGTAGCTATTCACTGTTGGTAGTAAGTTGGTACTATTATTTACACTGAGAGTCTTACTGTTGCTGACTCTACATGTTATTTCATCAGCTTCAGTGCTGCTAATCTACAGACATAAGAGCCTAAAGCATTTGAGGCAATAACTGGTGACTTCAATTATGCGTCTATATCTGCTATGCTTCCAATCTGTCAAATGCTGTACAAGGGAGGAGACAAATTGACCTGTTTTATTCAAATGTGAGGGACTCAAAGCTCTCTAAGGTAAGATCTACTCTTGCGAAATCGTATCCCAATCTTGTTTTTCTCTGCTCAGAGTAAAAGTCCCATTCTACGAGGCAGCCTCCATGTAGTTGAACGGTAAGAAGATGGTCATAGGAAGCTGCAGAAGCTCTTATGGTCTACCAGAACAAACAGCAAGCAGGACACACTGCTGTTTGCTTTTTGCTGTGAAGTTGGAGTTGAATATTCCATCATACTCCAATTTCAACAAACCCCCTTTATTTAAACCAGGCAGACATCACTGTGAGGATCATGTTCTCTGAATTCTGCGATGCATTTAACACAATTCAGCCTGGTGTGCTCTCAGAAACTCCAGAATACTCATTGGAAGGCATTAACAATCATCTGGATAAAAAGACCAGCTGACAAACAGACCACTGTTTGTGAGACTGAACGGTCAAATGTCTAACCAGGAAATCATAAGCAGGTACTCCACAGGGGACAGTACTCTCATCATTCCTTTTACACCTCTAACATCCAGTACAAGACAGAGTCATATCCCCTGCAGAAAATGGTCAGATGTCTCTCCATTTGTTGGGTGTATCAGAGATGGACAAAAGGTTGAGTCCAACAAAATAAGGAAGATGATTGTAGATTTGAGAAAAAAATGGAAAAGTTGAACTGTATTAACACCATGGGAGAAGAAGAGGAGGTGGTGGAGCAGAATCAATACCTCAATGTTCAGCTAGACAACAAACTCGATTGGAGACGCAATAGTAAAGCCACCTACAAAAACATACAGAACAGATTGTACTTCTAAGGGAATCTTAGGTAATTTAGTGTTTGCAGTAAGATGCATATCTTCTGGTAAACAATTTGTTTTTATAAAAAAGTGCAAAAAGTTATTGGAGACAATAGCTTTCTCAGTTTCATCAAACAGGAAAGAAAGAAAGCTACACATAGAAGCAAAGGATGCTTTAGGTGGAAAATAGATGTATGGAGTACAGAGAATTAAGGACAGCAATAGCTTTGTCACTGCTTTCCTTTTGAGAAATAAACATACGTAAACTGTAGCCCTATATCAGGACTATGTTCTAAAAAAACAAAAACATACCTTTACACATTAACTTATCCTTGTCTGTGTTTTGCAGCATTTTGGGGATGCATCTGTTTGGCTGCAAGTTTGGTCTGCGTCAAGAAAGTGGAGAAACTTTGGCAGACAGGAAAAACTTTGATTCCCTGCTTTGGGCGACTGTTACAGTGTTTCAGGTAAGACAAACACTATCTGTTGCATGCAGCCAGAAAGAACAAACACATTGACTGTATGCTATTTCAAGGAACTCCACCACATTGGCTACAGAGAGCGTTCAGACCCCTTTCAAGTTTTTTACTTGTTTTTCAGTCACATAAGTAAAAACATCAATTGTTGCAACATTTATAACTGAGCTTCTGCACCTGTTACAAATCTTTATTTTATGTTTGTAAAATTGAAAAAAAGAAAATCTCTTTTCCAGAAAGCCTGTTTAAGCATTTATTCTCCTAATTTCTTTGAAAACTAAGCAAAAAAGTTTGCCAATAAAAAATGACATAAAAGAAAATTAAAAAAAGGAAGATTAGAGCTGGATTAACCTATATTACATTTTAAAATCTATATTCACGCTTCTGATATCAATGTGTCCATTTCTCTAGAATAACATAAACTGTACTGTATGGTAAAAGATTCCCATTAAAGCCGCTCTGATGGATATATTTTTCTGCTCGTTCTTGAAAAAACATGAAAAGTTACGACTATAACTCATAATCTTTGCAACTGTTTTATAGCATTCACTTTCTAAGCAGAATATACCCAGGACTTCTGTTAATTTTGGTTCTAAATATCTTTTTATATAATCTTTAAAGATAAAGTACAATTTTTCAGTCGATATCAGTCGGAGAGAAGAGTTGGAAATCTAAAGGAGTTTTCTTACTCATACTTATATCTAGTCTCTTAAATAAAATATATATATTGGTTGCTTCTGTATGCTTTCTGAAAGGAGAAGCAGCAAGAGGAGTGGAAGTAACTTTATGACACATTTGAACTACCCAGCAACATAGTGGCAGTAGTGGTTGGCTTAAGCTGACTTTTGGGCATTTAGCTGGACAGGAGCAACGACTGACAATGAGATTTAAGGTACAATCAAATGGTTTGGTGGGTTATTTGATGCCTGTCATCTGACCAGCCTTTTGAAGAGCATCAAGATGGAGTTGATGCTTTGACTTCTGCCATGGTAGTAACAGTCAAACCTTTGGCAAAGGTCATAGGACATAAAAAAAAAAAAAAAAAAAAGAAAAAAATTGGAGTGCAGATTCTGGATAATAAGTGCAACCTCACTCTGACAGATGACTCTCCCCAGCTCCTTAAGGGGATTCTGGTTTCTGGATCTTTCTCAAGGCACAAAGTGATATAGGGCCGATCTTTAAAGATTCCAAATTGGAATGTTGATTTGTGTTGGTAAAAATTAATTGTGTGTGTAGTAAATGGGCATGTTGTGGCTGTTCCACCATATTTAAACAAGCACATTGTGCGTGCTACTGGTAGTTTTGGAGAAGAACTAAAAGAAAGGGCAATACACACTACACAAGAAATGTTCTGTCTCGCATGGCTGCAAGAACAAAATTTTATGGGCACAATTATTTTCTTATGTGGC